GTCGGTGAGTGGCTTGCGAGGAAGTCTGAGGCGGGAACTCCTCCTTATGGGGCCCGCGGATCATGTTACGAATTCGAACGGGTCATCCGCAACGTGTAACTGTCGTCAGTTTTGGGCTCCTCTGGCTTGATTATGGAGGACGTATCCAGCGGGAACATCGTCCGCGAGTGGCTTGCGAGGAAGTCTCAGGCGGGAACCCTTCCTAATGGGACCCGCAGATCATGTTACTAATCCGAGCTGGTCGTCCGCAGCGTGTAACTGTCGTCACTTTTGGGCGTTTCAGGCTTGAATATGAAGGAAATATCGAGCGGGAACCTCGTCTGTGACTAAATTGCGAGGACATCTCAGGCGGAGCCCCCTCCTTATGGGACCCGCAGATCATTGTACTAATCCGAGCGGGTCATCCGCAACGTGTAAATGTCGTCATTTTTGGGCTCTTCAGGCTTGAATATGAAGGAAGTATCGAGCGGGAGCCTCGTCCGTGAGTGAATTGCGAGGAAGTCTCAGGCGGGAGCCCCCCCTTATGGGGCCGCAGATCACGTTCGAATCCGAGACGGGTCATCGGATTCTATTAACTGTCGTCATTTGGAGGTCTGAGGACCGATTTTAGGACCGATTTTGAGGATCGAAGGGGAACTCGCACGGAGGTGCCTCATCCAACTCGCGGCACAATCGGGAATGACGACGCATCATGATGGTGGGTCCCGCACCTACACGAGTCCTCGGGTTTTCGTACCTGTCGTCATTGTTGTGCTCTGAGGAGGAGGAGGAGGAGGAGGAGGAGGAGGAGGAGGAGGAGGAGGAGGAGAACGATAAACAGGAATTGAGGAGGAATACGGCGGCCGGGCGCAGGGGGAAACCCTTGCGTCCGGGCCGGGGGTGGTAACCCATCCTCGGCCGAAGCGGCGGCCGGGCGCAGGGGTAGCCCCTTGCGTCCGGGCCGGGGGTGGTAACCCATCCTCGGCCGAATCGGGGGCAGGGGTAACCCCTTGTCTCCGGGCCGCCGGTGGTAACCCATCGGCGGCCGAATCGGGCGCAGGGGTAGCCCCTTGCGTCCGGGCCGGGGGTGGTAACCCATCCTCGGCCGAATCGGGGGCAGGGGTAACAACCCATCGTCAGCCGAATCGGGCGCAGGGGGGAACCCTTGCGTCCGGGCCGGGGGTGGTAACCCATCCTCGGCCGAATCGGGAGCAGGGGTAACCCCTTGTCCCCGGGCTGGCGGTGGTAACCCATCGTCAGCCGAATCGGGCGCACGGGCCAGCTCTTCCACCCCCGCTACCTACCGCAGGGGGTCTGGCTGCAGGTGCACGGCTTCCAGGAGTCCCCGATCTACAAGGAGGTCGCCGAGGTGCTGCAGCAGCGCGCCGATGGCGCCGACGACGACGGCGAGGCCGAGGCGCGGGCGAGGAACTTGCTCATGTTCAGGCCCAGCGAGCAGTAGCTCACGTGGCAGAGCTCGGGGGCGCACGCTGTGCGCCGCTCGGGGTTCACGCTGACGCACGCGTCTTGCCTGACCTCCACGCTGTCGCAGGGCCAGACGCTGCGCAAGGGCGTCACCATCGACTGCGCCAGGGATGAGGACGCTGGCCGCGCGGGCATGTCGGACGAGCAGCGGTGGCTGCACGTCTACGTCATGTTCTCCCGCGCCACGCGCGCGCGGAACGTGCTGATCCCGCGGCCGCGCGCGCGGGAGTTCCTGGAGCGCGGGCCGCCGGCGCCCCTGCGAAGGGCGCTCCAGGAGTTCGACAAGAGAGCGGTGGGCTCCAGGGCCGAGGCGGAGCAACTCGCGGCAGAGCTGGGTTTCGCGCTGCCTCCCGTCTGAGCGCGGCCGCTATTAGCTCGGCGCCTGCGGGGGTGCCCCAACGGCTTGCTCTCGCGCCCCAGCGGCTCGCGGGGTTGCCCCGACGGCTTCGCGATCTAGCCGTCGGCAAACGCGCGCCTGATTGCCGTGGCGGCGAGGGCGCCGAGGAACATCGATTTGCTTTCCCCGACCAGGGGGGCGGGGAGGTGCACATGGAGAAGAGGCAGGCGGAGGATGAGGAGGAGGGAAGGGGCACGTGGAGAGGGCGATGATGAAAAAGGAGGTGGAGGGGGAGGAGGAGGAGGAGGAGGAAGAGGAGGGGAAGGGCGATGATAAATAGAAGGAGGAGGAGAGGGAAGAGCAAAAGGCGAGAGGAGAGTGTCCGCCAGAGGGAGGAGGGAAGGGCTAAGGGGAACCTAAACAGATTCTCATGCGGGGTGTCACCGTCGGAGTAATTCCCCGTATGCTTTTATCGCCGCAAACGGGCCGCCAGGGACTGAGAACAATTCAGCGCAATTAAGTGTTACAGTTCCTTCCTTTGGAAATCCGTATCAAAACTCCGAAGTAAAGTTCTTTCTTAAGGTATCGCATGGGTTTCTGAAGGAATCGTGTGGGCTCCCATATGATCCCCATTGATTCCCCGCGGGGTCCCCATGGGTCTCGTACGGAACCCGATGGATTGCCCAACGAACCTGGTGGACCTCCTAAGGGATCCAATGGGTTCCCAAACGGACCCGATGGATGTCCGAAGGAATCCGATTGATTTCTTCAATAATTCTATTGACTTCCAAGGAATCCGATGGATGTCCCAAGGATCCGTGTATATTCCCATTGGGACCCGACGGCTGTTTTAAGGCGTCCTAAGGATTTCCCAGGGATCCATATAGATGCCATGGGATTCCTATGGGTATCCTGAGAGATCCTGTGCAGTTCCTAATGGGTCCAATGAGGTTCCCAAGGATACCAATCGGCTTCCGAAGGGAACCGATGGATTACTTGAGGTATCTTACGCATTTCGAAACAAAGACCCTTATGGATTTCCGAACGAATCCAATGGACTTCCCAAGGCATCCCATGCATTTCCTAAGGGATCTTGTGGTTGTCCTATGGAGTCCTGTGCGTTTCCGAAAACATTTGGATTTCTTGAGGAATCCTTTGGGGTTCCGATGGGGTCCTATGGGTTTTCGTCGGGTCCCCAGAAATTCCCCAAGGGCCCCTTAGATTTCTTAAGGAATCCGATGAGTCTCCTAAGGGTTCCTATTGATGTCCTAAGGTCTCTTATGGATGTTGTAAGGAATCCTGTGGATTTCCAAAGGAATCCAACAGATGTTCTAAGGGACCCCGTGGATTCCCAAAGGAATTCTACGAACTTTTAAAGGAATCCCATCGGTTTCCGGAGGAATCCTCAGGATTTGCTCAGGAATCTTCCGGGTTCCCTAGGGATCCCAATGGATTCCCTCAGGGATCCGAGGATGTCTTTAGGAATCTTATGATATTCTTAAGGATTCTGGCGGATGCTCCTACGGATTCCTATGGATGTCCTTGAAAATCCAATGAATGTCTTAAGGATTCTTATGGATGTCCCAAGGATTCCGATGGAGCGTCCAGGATCATGTTCATCATCATCACCATCATCATAAGCATCATCATCATCATAATCATCATCATCATCATCATCATCAGCATCATCATCATCATGTTCATCTTTATTGTCATCATCTTCATCATTATGCTTCGGCCTCCGGGAAGCCGTTTATTATCCCCCCTGGACCCCGAGCTTTATTGATTACCCCATGGGGATTAATTTCAGGGGCACAAGGTTAGTTGGCCGCTCTGCGGGCGAGCCTGCGCGCGTTCGCGTGGCCGCAGCGATGCGTGAGCCAGCGCCAAGCAGTCATCGCAATCGCCGCCGCATAGGTGTTGGCGTTCACGTTTTGCAAACCAAATTGTTGGCGGGGTTGGCACGTTCAAATTCGACAGGGCGCATTTCACCACATAGATTGCACCACGCGGTATGCACCGCATAGGTTGGTTCGCATAGTTTGCATCGCATCAGTTGCGCCTCATCGAGTGCACCGCGCAGCTGACATCACATGTATTGGATCACGTGGATGATTGGCACATGTCCCACACATCTTTTTCTTGTACCACGCAGATAGCCGTTCACATATTCCACCACGTAATATGTACCACCTAGCTTGCACCACGTAGCCCGCGCCGCATGAATTGCACCGTGTGGAGAAAAAAACACATTACACACATTGCATCACATAGCGGACACTACATCGATTGCACTGCATCGATTGCATCACATTTGCTGCAGCACATATACTGCACTTCGCAGCGTGCACCACATAGAGTGCATAGCTTGACTGACATACGTTGGACCACATAACGTACACTACATATATGACACCAAAATGATTACACCACAGGCATGGGATTACGGAATAGGCTAGATTACATTGTTTGAGGGCCCCGCATTGGTAACATTTTCAATTCATTGCGGGTGGTCGCGTGAGCTTGGGCCGCGACGCGTATCGCGTGATGATCGTGGTTTGGTCGCGGTTGGGTCGCGGGTAGACCGCGGGTGGGTCGCGGGGTAGGTTGCGGGGCGGGGCGGGAGGGCGACAACGATAGCAGCAACAACAGCGCAACACAAAAATAGTTCGCACCGCGGAGCCCCATTTCGGTTGATTGCCCATGGACCATGCGAAAAGCGTTCGGCACCCTCACCCTGACAGCGCATGAACCCGCCAGTGCAAGCACAGTTTCGAATACTGAATACGCGACCTCAAACGCGAGCCATCGCGCGAGGCGCCCGCTGGCGTTCACCAGCCGAGAGCTTGGCAGGCCCAACCAGCGCCCAAAGGCGCCCACGGGCGTCCAACAGCCGGAAGTTTTTCAAAACCCAGTCGCAGCACGAGGCGCCCTCTTCCCTACCACTTGAGCAGGATTGAAAGAGAGAGCTCAACAAAGGGACCGACCAGACGTCAGAGAAGAAGAGGGAGAGGGAGAGAGAGAGAGCGAGATACAGAAAAAGTGCGTGAAGGAACCCAGAGGAGCCCAGGGTTTTTTTGGAGACCCCAGGCTGCCACAGCGGCCATCATCCCGCACCTCCCACGTCCCTTCGGATCTAGCGTTTCGGAACTCGGGTATCTGCATCGCCCCCCCCCTGCTCATGGCCCCATCCGGAGAGGTGCTCCAAAAGTTCCGCGACGGCGATTGCAGTTGCCTCGTGTGCACCAACATCCTCGGCCGCGGTCACGACATCCCGCAGGTTGCGCCCTCGCAACGGCGCGACCTATCTTGCATGAGGATGACGTTGGTACCAGCAGCTCGGGATAAGTACGGTACAGTGCGCCTCCTTCTCCTTCTCTCCTCTAGAATTTCTGTCGCAACATGTAGCCCCATCAACGCATTCAAATGCAATTCCAGGGCAAGTACGTATCCGCGAGCGTCATGGAAACACATTCGCGAAGGAGGGGGCACCCCACAATGTGACGAATACGTCAGTCTAAGCAGACCTTGGATATGGCACTATTTTGTTTCGCGTTGCCTCGTGCATCTCAGCGCCAATGACCTATCGCGGTCTTCGCTTAGTGTAGCGCAGCTTATCGATGCGTATGTTCACGTGGCGTGACGTAGGCGAGTTCGCCATGGCTTGGCGAGCTGAGCTGAGGCTCGTGCATCATGAGTCACGATTCGTTGCTCGACGGTTTGCCAAGATGTATGTCACGTCCCAAGTGAGTCATCGCCCAACATTCGTGTTTGGCTCCCCGCATTTGCTTTCTGCTACCATTTGGGCTCCTCTTGGAGCCCTCGCGGGGCTCTTAGGATGCTCTCGTGAGTCGTGAAGGTCACCTTTGGGGCCCTTTTGGGCATCTCTAGGGCCTGTTGGGCCATCTAGGATTCTTCCTGAAGCGCCCGAGCTACATCGCAAGGCTAAATGCGAGAAAGGAAACTATTTAGAAAAGCATAGTGGCTTGCAGTGATGTTGACCGTGCAAGGGCATATTTGGATATTTGAGTTTGCCCGGGGCCTCTCGGAGCCATGTTGGAGACCATGGGCCATCTCATCTCGCAGAGGTCTTCGAGAGGTCGGCCGGGCGTCGACGCGCGCGTTCCAGTGTTTGCGCTAGACATTATGCGCTTCGTCGCCGCTCGCGGGGCCGCGACGCCAAAGATGTGTGTTGTGTGAATGAGGTGGTCAGCCGCCTCAAGAAGGAGTGTGGCCCCATGTTGGCGGTTGACTGGAATGCCATCTGCGACCATGAGTGCGGACCGCACACCGCCAAGGACCCCCACCGTCACCACGCGGACTTCTGCCGGGGCTTCGTGCGTGAGCTCAGCGAAGCCAACTACGACTTTCGCAGACTGTGCAGGAACAAAGGCATCCAAGTCGATTGGAATGTCAAGCGGTACCGAGAACTTGTCAAGATGAGACAGAGCGCCGAGCTTGCCAAAGGCAAAGGGAAGGGGCCCCCGCCGCAGGAGAAAGGCAAGCGGCTGGCTGATTCCTCCTGGCCCAGCAACGGCCCTAATTACCCGTCAGCGTTGGTCAGCCTCAAGCAGCCACCGCTGGCAGCTCTCGTGCAGCTGCCCCGCCACCTCGACCTGTTCTGACTTTGGCGTCCCCAGGCTCCGGGCAGTGGCCATCCTGGTCGCTGCCCTCCTCCCCCCCCTGCCTTCGTGGCTCGCTTGCTTCCATGCACCTATTCGGTGCCCCCCCCCCCCCCGCAGGCCTCCAGCTCGCGCTCGGGGCCTGTTTCCTCCCGCCGCCGACGGTCTGCTCCGCAGCCCACGCCCCGTGGTGCCTCTCCGCGTACAGGCGCTCCTCTTCGTCCGCGCCCGCAGCGGGGGCCTCCCGCGAGCACCCTGGGTGGCTCTTGGTCGCTCGGCTGCTGCCTAGGTCGCCCCGCACTGGGGTGGGCCCTGTCAAAGTGGGCTGGTCTGGCCGCCTACTCGTGGCCCTTGGGCCTCTCCCCACCTCTCCGCCGTGGGTGTGCCCTGCTCCGCCGCTCCTGCCCCCTGCTTCGGCCCAGGTTTCGCCGGCCTTCTGCAGGTTTTGCACTGGCGTTGCCTGCGGCACCCTGTGGGCCCCTGCCGTGCCTGTGCCGGCCGGGCGACACTCGCTGCATTGCCAGTGTCTTGCCCCTCTGCCTGGCTTTCAGGCCGCCCACCCAGACACCGGCTACTGGTGTTCTGGCCGCTGCCGTCTCCGTGGGACTTTGCCCCGCCGTTGGCCCGCGTCCCGTTGGCCTTTTGGTCTCTGCGCTCGCCCTGCCCGCTCCCCTGGGCCCGCCGCTGCACCATTTTTGCGTGGCCCCTCGTACTTCTTCCCGCCCCCCGCTCGCGTCTGCTTCGCCGGGTCGTCACCGCCTGCCTCCACGCCATGCGCCTCGTAGGCCCTCCTGGTCTCGGCGCTCTCCCGCCCCTTGGTCTGCCGCGTTTCGTAGGCCCCTAGGTCTCGGCGCTTTGGCTCTTCCCCTGGACCGCACCCATCGGCTTGCTGGGTCGAGTTTCTGATTCGTTCGTGTTGCTCCCCCACCTGCCGCCCAGTCTGCTGGGCTGCGTTCTTCAGCGCAGATCAATGCAGCTCAGTGCCGGCGCTGGCTCCCCCTTCAGCGCTCCCCGTGCCGCAGTCGGCGACTCTGAGTGGGCCTGGTTTCCTCTCTTCCTGTCGTGCCGGGGCTCCTCTTCCTCCTCTATGCATGGCGGCCTTAATTTGCATACAGCGTGTCCCTTGCCGCCCATCCGCCGGAGCAGCCACCCTCTGCCCAGCAGCCGACGCAAAAAGTGTGTGTGTGTGTGTGTGCGTGTGCGTGTGCGTGTGCGTGTGCGTGTGCGTGTGCGTGTGCGTGTGCGTGTGCGTGTGCGTGTGCGTGTGCGTGTGCGTGAGCGTGAGCGTGTGCGCGTGCGTGTGCGTGTGCGTGTGCGTGTGCGTACGTGCGTGCGTGCGTGCGTGCGTGCGCGCGCGCGTGCGTGCGCTCGTGCGTCCGCGATTTTCCCCCAAGCCGCCCCGCAACACAAACAATATCGTTCACGTGCCATTCGCAACCGTATATTCAAGGGGCTTACGCCAGTCCGCCGATCCCCACAAGGAGTGAGTGTCAAACCGTGGAAGCTATATCTTGGGTTCAGGAACGTCCTGGATTAATATGAGGGTCTCTTGGGATGCCTTTTTGGTGACTCTCGGGACATCTTGGGGCCATGTGGGATGCCTTTGGGGGCTTTGTAGGGGCCTCTCGGGGGGTTATTCGGGGCGTCTTGGAGGCCTTTCAGGGGCCTTGTGGAGGGCATTCGGGGGCCTCTGGGGGGCTCGAGTGGCCATCTCGGTGGGAAAGGCTCGAGGTGTCAGTTCGTATTCCCCCTTTGGGGTTTTCTTGGAGCCATTTGGGGGCCTTCACGGGCTGTCTTGGGCCGTCGTCGGGGGCCCCTGGGGCTGTCTTTGGTCCCTCTTGGGCCGTCTTGGGGCCTTCTTGGCGGCATCATGGGCCGTCTTGGGACGATCTTGGGGCTCACTTGGGCCGTCGTGTTCGCTGTCAAAAGTAAAATGCGACGTGCTGAAAACGGGCGTTTGTGATCCAAGGGACTGGGATGATTTCGACCTCGTGGGGCCTCTTCGGCGATCCTCTGGAGGCGTTGTTGGGCTGTCTTGGGGGCATCTAGGCCATTTTGGATCGTTGTGGTGCTACCCTCGGCCGTCATGACGCTCTTTTCGATTGTCCTGGCTCTCTGTCTGGACCCTGCTGGGTTGTCTTCGGTTTGTTGTTTTTTTGGGGGGGTCGGAGAGCCCTCAGATGGTTGGCGAGTTCGTGCACCCCACTCTCTAATTGGATGTTGGACCCTGGCGGCAGGGGAAAAGGGGGAGGGGGACAACCAAGTGCTTCACACGCCTTTCCACCCCTGGCAAGCGGCGGTCGGCGGATTCCATTGACTTCAGGGGCGCCGAATGGTCTCAGCCTCCTCCTCCACAGGATGCCGTCCTTTTTCCCTGCTCATACACCGCGTACCATTAGCTTGTGCCTCTTCGCACTCCCTCCCATCGCTCTATCTAAAATATCAATATCATCCTTTTTTGTTGCTCTCGTCCTGCTCTTCCTCCTCCCCCTTTCTCCTTCTGCCCATCCTCCACGTCTTGTTATGTTCCTCCTTCGTCTCCCCCTCCTCCCCCCTTCGCCAACGCTTACACACTATGAATACTATCCTCCTCTCCCCCGACGACCCCAAGGTCGTAGCCTGCCCCGTTCCCGCGTATTATTATTGCACATCGGAACCCCCAAAGGTGGTCGGTCATGTGTCTTTTTCCAATCCGAGCGTTTTCGGTATTTCCAGAGTTGCACTCCCGCTACAGCGTTGGCTTCATTTTCTGGGGAACTCGGTCCATACGAACCACCCTTCTCCTGTAGCGCTGACATCGTTTGATGCGGATCTTCTGAATCGCGCTCCCGCTACAGCGCTGGCTCTCATTTAACGCTCGTTATTGCTTGTGCGTTTCACAATCGGGATCTTGTCGGTCCTTACAGGAAGGCGATCTCGCTTCATGCTTAGCTTCATGTCCGCACTTTCGGCTCTTCAACAGTGGCGCTCCCATCTTATCCTTGGCTTCATTTCCGTGATCTCAGCCGTTTTGGAGAGGATATCTACACCTTGGGTAAGGGCTGGCAGGGTGTACGACGTCAAGTATTGTCGCGAGCGCACCTAGCTTGTCATCTCCCCCCCTACCCCGCCTGCTGCTCCCGCCTGCCCCTCCTCACCCCCCTCCAGGTGTGGTTGGCTCTGGCAGCGGGGTGGACCTGCCCCGGGGGCCTCCCCGGCCACACGCAGTCCTAACATGCAGTTTCTTCCTTCTCCTTCCTCCTCTCCCCTCCTCGTGCTCCTCCCTCCTTCCACTCCTTCTTCGCTCCCCCCCCCTCCTTCCCCGTCCCCCTCATCCTGCTCCTCCCTCCTTTCCCTCCTTCTCCGTCTCGCCCCCCCCTCCTTCCCCCCAGTCCCCCTCATCCTGCTTCTCCCTCACTCTCCTGCTCCCCCCTTCCACCAGCTCCTCCACCCTCATTCTGATTTGCTTGCTGCTGCTCCGCTGAGGAGGGGGGAGGGACTCCACGCTGCTCATCCCCACCCCGCTCCGCGCCGGTGGCCAGTGGCCGGTTAGTGTTTTCTTGGCGCGCTCCGCGGCCCGCCGCTAGGTGAAATTCGTCATTAACTACGACGCCCCGGACGCGGCCTACCCTCGCTGAAGGGGGGAGGAGGCGCTGGATGGAGGAGGAGGGAGTGAGGGTGAGAGCAGGAGGAGGATGAGGAGGAGGATTCAGAGATACCGGTACCCATCCCTCGTTATCACGGCTGGATTCAGAACGCTCCCCAGGACGGGTCCGTAGAGTGGTTTTATCTGTACGTTGTTTTGTTACCGCGATGATGATGGTGAGAATGATGATAACGATGATGATGGTGATGATGATGATGTTGACGATGGTGTTGATGCTGATGCTGATGATTATGATGATGATGATGATGATGATGATGAAGACGATACTGATGATACTGATGATGATGCTGATGAAGATAATGCTGCTGATGATGATGCTGATGATGAGGAGGAGGAGGATCAGGATCAGGATCATGATCAGGATCAGGACGATGACGATGACGCTGACGATGATGATGATGATGATGATGATGATGATGATGATGATGATGATGATGATGATACTGATGATGATGAGGATGATGGTGATTGTGATGCTGATGCTGATGATGATGGTGGGGATGATGAAGTTTATGGATAAGATGCTGCTGATAATGCTAATGATGATAATGATGGTGGTGATGATGATGGTGATGATGATGATGATGGTGGTGGTGATGGTGATGGTGATGATCATGGTGGTGGTGGCGATGATGCTGCTGATGTTGATGATGATGCTGCTGATGATGCTTGCGATGATGCTGATGATGATCATGCTGGTGATTATGATGATGCTGAGGATGATGGTGATTATGATGATGGTGATGGTGCTTGTGATGGTAATGATGAAGACGATGATAATGATGAGGATGACGAATATGATGATGATTATGATGATGCTGATGATGATGCTGATGCTGCTGATGCTGATTATGATGCTGATGCTGGTGATGATGATGTTGATGATGCTGTTGATGATGCTGCTGATGATTATGATGGTGATGATAATGATGATGATGAAGATGATGATGATGATGATGATGATGACGCTGATGCTGATGCTGATGCTGATGATGATGCTGATGCTGCTGATGATGATGACGATGATGAGGAGGAGGCGGAGGAGGAGGAGGCGGAGGAGGAGGAGGCGGAGGTCGGTGGTGTTGGTTGTGGTGGTGGGGGGGTGGCGGTGCATGTGGAGGTGGTGGTGGTGGTGGTGGTGTTGCTGCTGATGTTGTTGATGATGATGATGATGATGCTGTTGATGATGATGCTGATGATGATGATGATGCTGATGATGATGGTGATGATGCTGATGATGATGGTGATGGTGATGGTGATGGTGATGGCGATGATGATGATGATGATGCTGATGATTATGATGATGATGATGATGATGATGATGGTGGTGATGGTGATGGTGATGGTGATGGTGATGGTGATGGTGATGATGATGATGATGATGATGATGATGATGATGATGATGATGATGAAAATGCTGATTATTGTTGTGGTGGTGGTGTTAATAGGGGAACGAGGGGGGAGGGGGAGGAGAAGGGGAGGAGGCGGGGAAGGAGGGAGAAATGAGGGGCGGGGGAGCGGAACGCAGAAGCAGGAGTGGTAATACTGAACCGGCACGGTGAACCCAAAAAGGGTAATTTTTATTTGACTTGCAAGGGGAAAGGTCGAGGATAAGGAGAAAGGGTAGATAAGGAGGTGAAGGGCATGGAGGGAGCACGGCTCCCTGGTGTCGCCCTGGTAGCCCCCTATCTCTTGATGGCTCCGTCATGACCAACTCGTGCCCGCCTCGTGGCTTCACGTTGCGTCATTGCCGCCTTGTGCCCCCCTCGTGGCCCTCATGGCCCCCTGGCGGCCTGGAGCCCCCCTCGTTACTGTTCCGTTTGGCTCCGCGGTGGTCGCCCTTTGTTTGCCCGTGTCTTGTCCCCCTCCTGGCGTCCTCGTGGCACCCGTGCCGCCCCTCCGCGGGGCTCTGAGGGCCTTCTAGAGGTCATAGCTGGCCGTTCCCCCCCCCCCCACCCCACCCCACCACACGGCGATACGTCAACATGTGAACGCGCAGAGCAAGCATTCTCGTTGTGGGGATGGGGCGTCCTGACGGGCCTCTTGGTCCTGGGCCGGGCGGCTACCGCCGAAGCCCCGCGGCCCGACCCGATCAGCCCTCGCTTCCGACAAGGAGCATAGGACGGATCATATTTGATCGTGGATCGAGCTGGATTTGGGTGTGCAGGTTGCGTCATGGCGCGGTGACAGAAGCCGCCTGAACTTGACCACGCATGCCCGACATGAAATGCAGGCACCCCTGCCACCAAGGACTACGCCTGGAAGTTTTCAGGTTTCGAAGCAGAGCCCTGGAGTAGGAGAAAGAGGAGGACGAAGAGTCGACAGATGCGGATGGGAGGATCGACAACGGCCAAGAGGATCCCGCAGCCCGTAGCCACCGTTGGCCTAGGACGATATCGAGTCCTACGTCCACCGCATCGGGCGGAGCGGGCGCGCGGGCGAGACGGGCTTCGCCATGACGTTCCTCACAGAGAGGGAAGATACGGGGGCCCAAGCAGCTACAATTCGTCTGTACATTCGCCCTCTCCTGCCCTGGTGTGTCTCCTCCTCTCCCTTCCCTTCATCTTGCGTCGCCTTCTGATGCCATTTCGGCGTTCACGCTTTCAGAGCTTCTACCGATAATGCAACCATTCGTGGGATGAGGTGGTTTGGGTGGTGGGATCGGATGACTACAGTGGTCGATGCGTGATGTGTTTTGCGTCGGGTCGGATGTTTGTTCATAGCCTCTTCTATGTATGGTCTACTCCTCTTATGTGGTGCAGTTTTCGAGACACAGATCTCTCCCAACGCTCATGCCATCGTTTTTGCATGTCCCTGTGCTGTCCTAACTCATCAAATTCGCATAACGCGTTTCAGGCGTTACATGTGTTACCTCCTTTAACTCATCATCGTTGGAACCATATTACCCCCGACAGGGACAAGGTAAGGTAGCTAATTTCCAGCGTGTCCTTGCAGGTGGGGATGGATGCTGCGAAACCCAAATGAGATTGGAGCAATCCCCACCTTCGGGGGTGGGGATCGGCTGGCGGGGCCGAGGCGTCAGCAATGATGGGAATGGTTTCGCGTGTCCAGACTCGCCTAGTCAATGATGCAGATTATGTCTGTTGAGCTGGGTGATACGATTTTTTCGGATTCATCTAACTGTGCTGATCATTCTCACCCGTCGCACCCATCTTTCATGTTTGATATCTTTTCTAAGTCTTCTGATTACTCAGATACTCCAAACTCTAACCACGACTATCCTAACTCTTCTTTCTCGGCTCACCCGTCTACTCGTGTGTCCCTTCTGACCCCTGTGGCCCGAATATGGGCAAAGGAGCCAGAACAGTCGGCGACAGCATTTCCGAACAACATTCCGTGACAGTTTTATTTGTCGTCCGTCTTTTTTGTTTCTCTCTTCCCCCTCCGGCTTTTCGGAGTCGAATTTGTGTAGTACAGTCTGCAGGCCTCATTTGTTCCGTCACAATAAGCAAACACCATGTCGGAGACGGACGGGCGGGAGGAAGGGATGGAAGGATATGGATTGGGAGAGGTTTGAGATGGGAAGGGGGTTAGGGGAAGAGAGGGATGAGGGAAATGGAGGGAACTTCGGGAGCGATGGGGGATGGGATGGCCAGGAGGGGAGGGAGAAACGGGAGGGCCGGAACAAGGAGGAGGCAGGTAGGGGAGATGGGGAGATGGAGTGTTTGTTTATTCGTGCCTCCCTTCTGCCTGCAGCTGTGTTGGTGACTGCTCCCCGGCCTCATTTTCGCCTCCGCGCTGCAAAGCGGCGATTTCGTGCCGTGCAGTATTGTTGAGATTGTTGTGCCCATTGTGGTGGTTTCCTCCATTATGCCCCTCCTACATCCTCCTGCTCGCGCCGCAGGATGCGAAACTCGCCGCTCCGCTCGTGCAGGTGCTGAACCGGACCAGCCAGAAAGTCCCTGTGAAGCTCGAGGACCAGACAGCGCCCTCTCAAACATGTTTGCCTTTGCGGTCATCGCGCAGTGAGCTAATGCCGTTGCCGTCTTCGTTGGGAGGGCTTTGGGGCGCAACAGCGCAGTGGGAAGGAGCTCGAACTGAAGCTTCCTTGCGATCCAGGACCCTTTCTGAGCCAGCGCGGTTCTGAAACACCGTCTCCTTTTCCGCAACCTTGTTCTCCATCTGTTCCTGGAGGGTTTCTCGGGGGCCTCCTCGGGCCCTCTTAGGGGCGCCGGGGGCCTGTCGCGGGCCCTGCGGGCGTCTGGGGACTGTTGTGGGTGCGTTGGCTCTTTGCGGAGGGCTTTCCCGGATAGACTCCGTCGAACCATTTTGGGGACGTCCTCGTGAATTTTGGGGCGTCTTGGTGCCCTTACTATATGGTGGCTATCCGGGGGCCACTTAGGACCTTTCGTAGTGGAGTCCGGAGGCTTTGAAAACTTCCCGAGGCGCTCGAAAAGCCCCAGAAGCAACCCAACAACATGCTGTGCGATTCCATTTCTCAAGTTATTTGCGCCATGCCGCCCTCCAGAAGAGGTGAGAAGCCCAAGGCACACATGTATTTACAGGGAAGCTAGCGAGCGAGGATGCATGGTTGGCCCGCGCTAGGAAACTAGCGAGCAAATCTTCTACCAGCGAGTGCTGGGGAGGATGGCCTCGACGGGCGTGTGGGCGCGCACTCGGGCCTGTCCTGGGGCGCCCGTGTTTGTCCTTCTGCCGCGTGGCCCCCTGCTGGGAAGAGGCGGCGACGCCTGGTCTGGCGTGCTCGATGGAGCCGCCGGCCAGACGGCGGGCGCCCAAGTCAAGCGTCGTCGCGCACGCAGCCGCCCGCTGGGGACGGGCTGCATCGGGGGGGGGGCAGTACCCCAGGAGGCGGCCCAGCCAGGTGCGAGGAAACTCTCTTTGGGGGCCTCTTGGGCTGTTTTGGAGCCCTCTTGGGCCCTCTTTGGCGCATCTTGGGGGCATGTTGGGCCATGTTGTGGCGATTCTGAGGGGCTCTTGGGCAATTCTGGAGGCTATGAACCTCCGAACGTCGTCTATGCCAGGAAATGGGGCGATTTTTGCTTGTTGGGGCCCTCTTGGAGGGCCTCTGGAGGCTCTCTTGGAGCTTCTCGGCGGCATGTAGGGTTGTCTGGAGACCATCACGGGCGTCTTTGAGCAATCTTTCGGCGACTCGGGGCCCCTTGGACCGTCTCGGGGGCGTTTCGGGGCCTTCTTGGCGCGTTCCTGGGGCGTTCTGGGAGGCCTGGAAGGCAGCGCCGAGGAGGAAAACCATCTCTGAGCCGACCTTGCCGGGACCTGGTCGGGGTACTTTTCGTCCCGGAGCCCCCAGAAGCCGCCTCGAGCGCGCGAATTAGAATATAGTTAACCAGTTATTGGAGATCTTAGCACGCCTCTGGCCCAGTGGGCCGGCGAATTTGCTACTGCAGGCCCTTCCCACCACTGATGTTCAAAAGCGGCCATCGCTGAAACGGGGCAAGGGTGCCACAATCGGCGGCGAGACCAGGGGTGGGACGTGGCGCGCGGTGCGGGCATCAGGGGGGGCAGATGGAAGTGGAGGGGCGATGATTGATGGGAGGCGGGAACACATGCAACATGGACGGGTGGCAGTGGTCCCTTCTTCTGGCGTCCCAGTTGATTCCTCCCCCACTCCTCTTCCTCCTCGTTCCATGGAGGGCACGCTGAGGATTCATTCGGCGGCAACTTGTTGTAAGAGTACACCGCGGCGGGGAGTGGTAAAATAGCTGACGATGCGTTGATGGCGTGTTGCTGCCGGAGCCCCTAGGACTAGGGTTGGTCGCGCGTTGGGTTGTAATTTTTCTTCTCGCCATGACCGAACTTACTGAGCCCGAATCAGAGCCAAGTCGGATCCGTCTTGGGGGGGGGGGTCAGCGAGCTCCGGCGAAAACACCCCAGCTGACGCGGCCCGCCCGCGCGCCCGCAAGGAACTCGCGGCCGGTGCGGGCCAGAACTTCGGGTGGACGGCGGTGCAGGACGGCGCAGCGAGCCTCCGCGCCGCGCTCCGCCGTCGTAGTCGGAATCGCCGTCGAGGGCGGAACGGGCGGAAGAGGCCCTAGGGCGTAGCGGAAGGTGGGCGCCGAGAACGCCGGAAGTTGATAGGAAATGGAGTGTGGGGGGGGGGAAATGAACAGTCCGAGGAAACAGATGCAGGGGGGGCAGACTGGGAATCATGTGAAGGTGGAGGGCGGGAAGGAGAAGCAGATGAGGAGGATCAGGAAGAGCAGGAGGAGGCATAGTGTAAAACCCAAGAATCATCAACGATGTTGGAATCCCTCCAAGCTCTGTCTTCATAGGCCCCTGCAACGGTTCATTTCCATTGGGGGAGCTGCCTCGTTGGAAGACAACCGTTTGAAGACCCTGAAGCATGCCAAAACTTTGTTCTCGGGATTTCAACGCCACGGATCAACATGACTGCTGCGTCTTGACGATCCGGACTCGTGCCAGAACAATTTTTGGGATTCCACACCGCGAATCAACGTACTCCGGATCTCATAACAATTGGGGGGGGTCTGCTTTTCGGGGGGGTCTAACGGGCTTCGTCAACCACAATTGTGGGGGGGTCTCGATTTTGGACCCTTTGTTGCCTGTCTGGGGGGGGTCTACTTGGGGGAGGTCCCAGACCGGCCGTCAAACACTTTTTTGACCCCCCCTTGTATTATGAGATTTTGAGATTGTTGCACACACATAATCCTGAATTCTTCCAAGACGCCATTTCTGGTATGTGGGTCCTGGGAATCCGCGAAACTCTTGCAAATGTTTGAAACGACTGTGCGCGGCGCTAAAGCGAGAGCCACATTTTGAAAAGGAACTGCCCTCAATCCGCGAAACTTTTGAATTGTTTTACAGCGAATGTGCGCGGCGCTGAGACGAGAGCCACATTTTGAAAACCACCCGCCCTCCGTCTGTGAAATTGTTGCAAATGTTCAAAAGGAATGTGCGCGGCGCTAAGGAGAGAGCCAAATTTTGAAAACGACCCGCCCTCAATCCGTGAAACTCTTGTAATTGTTTGAACCGAATGTGCGCGGCGCTACAGCGAGAACCACATTTTGAAAAGGAACCGCCCTCAACCTCGAAATTCTTGATTTTTTACACCGGATGTGCGCGGGACATTTTGAAAACCATTTGCCTTCCATCTGTGAAAATGTTGTCAATGTTTAAGCTTCAGGGTGATAACTGGTGAAGACGTCTCAGGCGAAACGCTTGGCCCGCCCGAAAGCTGGCCTAGGTGTGCGACAGGGAGAAGTTATTTATACGGGAATGGGATGGAGGAGGAAGACGGCGACGATGTTGAAGAGGGGGAGGGGAGGGGACGGACGGCGGGGCAGGGAGGAGGGAGCGGGAAAGCAGGATGATGAGTCAGAAGGACAAGGATGAGATCTTTGAACTTTGAACAGGACGAGGAGGAACAGGAAGAGGACGAGGAGGAGGAGGAGGAGGAGGAGGAGGATGAGGAGGCGCAGGAAGAGGACGAGGAAGAGGAGGAGGAGGAGGAGGAGGAGGAGGAGGGTGCCCACGAGGAGGAGGATGAGGAGGAGAAGGAGGGGGAGTGATCAGAAGAAGGCGCATGGGGACGCCGGGGTGTAGACTGAGGGACGAAAAATGGAGGCCGACCAGGAGGGAGGAGAACCAGGATGGGGGGCGGATGCGAGGCCGAAGTGAGAGTGAAGGCGGAGGCGGCGGAGGACAGCGGGGGTCTTGGAGGGCGGGGGAGGGAAAATATTAGGAGGCGTGGGAGGCGGAAGCAGGCGCGGAGAGAGGGGGAGGTCAGGTGGAGAGGGGGGGGGCAGGAAAAGGTGGGGCGGCGGAGGCGGAGGAGGGCGAGGATGAGGACGAGGGCGAGGAGGACGCCGCAGCCCTGCAGGACAACGGGGCCTACGGCAACGCTGGCAGAGGCGGGCCGCCGCCCCTCGGGCGGAGCGGAGGCTCCGGAAGAGCCCCGCGAGCTATGATTTTGGTCCCTACGGGCTCCCCCCTCCCGTGGGAGTCCTTCTCATCCTTCCATCCCTCCCCCCATCCCTCCCCTGGGCTTCTGTCACATCGTTCCCTCCTATGTTGTCAGCGGGTTTGTGAACAGACAGGTTGGTGTTTGGGCGTGGGTTTCTGTGGGCCCATGGGCACCAGTGATTTTTTTTAACTACACTTTGTCGATGGCGTGCTGCTTATTGCGATGTAGATTCGTCAACTTCATCACACG